CGGACAGCAACAACCGTATCATGCCGCCTAAGGACTGGGGCACAACGATCTACCCGGTGACCTGGGTGCTGCCAACTTGGGCGACATCGTGCCGGACTCGGACGCTTCCAGCAAGAAATACTGGGCTACGGTTAGCAACGGCAACGGCGACAACGCCAAGGTGCACCTGATCCACTTCGCCATGAACGCGGCTGCCAGCGAGGACATCACTCTGGGCGGCACGGACGCCAACGAACGTGCGCCTCACCTCGCGCAGATCGGCAGCGGCGGCATGCTGGCTGTGTGGGAGGGCAGCTCGTCGGGTGGCGACTTCATGGAGGGCGGTGACCGCACGATGTACGCGCAGGTGCTGGACGCTTCGTCGGGTAAGGCCATCAGCGATAAGGTGACAGTGGACAAGTCCGTGGTGGGCAACCGCTACCAGGCTCTGAAGACGTACCCGGACGGCAGTGTTGCATACCTGTCGAAGGGCAAGACGGACTCCTCGCTGCAGGTGGTGCGTTTCTACGGCTGCTAAGTGTGATGTACAAAAGGTTAGACATGTGAGCGTATAGTGTCTGTTGGGTGTGAAGTCGAAAATGCAAATGCATCTGATGAAAAGTCACATGGTAATCTCGCTTACACGTTTCGCTCTGGTCGAGCAGCAAGTGAATTCCAACGCTCCACAACAAGCAGAACACTATTCACTTCTTTCACAATAGCGTCTGCAGCAGCATAGCGCTCTGCGTCTTCATTGCTTAAGTCCGTTCGAGTCAATGCATCTGGCTTCGCCCATGAGGCATTCACCCAGATCGTCCTCAATCCGGCGCGTTTGGCTCCTTCCACATCGCATTTGTAGTGATCGCCGACATGCACGAGGTGCTGGCGACTGTAGGAAGCCGGGAATTTAGCCACCGCCGCGTCAAAGATCGCCTGTCCAGGTTTGGCAGAGCCCACGAGCTCCGCAGAGATCATAAAGTGCATATGGTGCTGGAAATATTTGAGTAAAATGTCCATTTCACCAGTTTTCCATTGGGTGATTACCCCCAAGATCCGCGACGCAACGTCGATCATACCGTTTGACCGCTTGATCTCCAGCTCCAAGCTGTGGAACAGGCTCTCCACGCCGCTGAACGGGCTCCGGTTGGCTACGCGGCAATAGAAAAGATAGGAACGCGGCGTCCACAAACGCCTCAAGCGCTACTTGATCGTGTAGATTCAATTCATGAGCACCACACACTTCCACGCAGTGACGCAGCGTGTACTTGCGAAGGAATGTGTAGTCGTGCGCATGGTCCGGCAGCGCGCGCTGGAATTGGACGAGCAACTCGTCAAAAGCCGCTGGAGGAAACCTGTCTGCTAGCTGAGGCGTCGCCTGCGCCAGATATGAGTGGAAGGCGGCGCTGGCCTTGCGGATTACAGTCTTACCACACCACAGCGTGTCGTCCAGGTCGAAGGTCACGCCGCGCACGGCAACAGCGGCCGGTTCCGCCACCATTTTCCTCTTTAGCTGTTTCAAATCTGAGATTGCTCAGAATCTGTCCAATGCTCGAATAAGTATCCAAATGGCTTCAGATAAGTAAACAGGAAGTGAAAATTGTATTTTTTATGATTCTGTAGTTGCTGGTCTATTATGTAAGAATGGCGTCGAAGTCGATGTTGCTGGCGTAGTGTTCGCCACACGCATGCACCTTGTGTTCGTCGGTCGGGTTGAATTTTGCTGTACGTACACAGAACACAAATGTGACTCTGTTGATTTTGTAAAAGAATAAAAAAATATCTTACCGG